TCAAATTTAAACCGTGGACTCGTGTGTCAACAAACACTTCATTTTTGTTATTTAAATCTAAATTTTTTAATTTTTCGTTGTTTATTCTTATTATTAACTTTATTTTGAATTAGATAATTATTTCTGAAATTATGTCGAATCACTTTGTCATACAAGTCTTTACTGTAATGTGTTTCCTCCATTATGTGTTATATCAAGTTGGTGTCAATTTTATTTATTTTTTTTAAATCAGTTAAAAACTTTTTGTTTTAAATTTGAATCTTAACAAAAATTCTTTGACTGCCGCTTTGATTTCTTTATTCACGAGACCTACTACTACCCATCTTCCGAAGATTGTATTACGCAATATTATTTATAACATTTTAATATTTAATTCTATCCTCATCCACTCCTATACAGTATACCCATCTAGATACTTCAAAATATGGCTTCTTACTTCGGTAACAAAAATTTAATCCAAACAGAACTCTGCAGCTTTAAGACAGGACTTCCTTTATTCCCAGAACTACTACTTTCCATTCTACCGAATATTGCATCAACAAATAATACTGACTGTGCTGGAGGGAACGTAAGTATTAAAGTTTAAGTTAATGTTATAGGAGTTCAATTATTAAAAACTTAACGAACGTGTAAACTTTCTATGAGCAAATTTCATATTAAATTCTTTGCTACATTTGCCTCAGCTTTTGGATACCACTTATATATCAGTAAATCGACTCAGGCAATTAATGCTCTGTGAACGGTAATGTGGACTTAGTCGGGCCTTCAGAATCGATTACCATTTTGCGTTATAAAAGAGCGCAGCAACGCATAAAGTATTTTGAATTGTGTGATCGTCGAACTAGTATCAAAATAGTGAAATAATAACGAACTAAAAAAAGATTTAATTGCTGGCACAATTAAATGGTTCTTAAGCAAAATTTGACTATATTTTCAACAGTGTCCAAACAGTCAACTGCCATATATACGTATCATTACAGCAGTTTAAAATTGCTTGGGATGTCACAAAGCTTGAATAGGTTACGCTTAAGAATGTATAAAGACGTTAACTATTCATCGTAATAATGTTAATGTAATGATGAAACAATTATTTCTTCAATATTGTTGTATAGAGATGCTTATAAGCAGTCAGCTACAACATACGAAACATATTGAAAAAAAGCTATTGGATAATTTGACATCATCTAACATCAGATCCAGAATTTTTCCGCTTTCATAGCAACCAAAAATACACTTGGTATTTTTGAGCAGAATAATATTTTGGGCAGTTCCCTATTTATTATAATCTTTATATTTTAAAGAAATCACCCTCATTTCTATACTCTGTCTTGAAATTCGATTGCAAGCTGGACGAAATACAGGAATGCTATACTAAAATTGCAAGAATGCGAGAACACCACTGTTGTAGAATTACTATATTAAAATGAAACACTTGTTCTTCAGCATATCACATCCACATGAGGAGCAACAGCTGTTTTTTTCCTTTTTGCTTCGTTGCAAGCATATAACATATACATGGGTTTAGGTATGGCAAGATTGTAATTAATTGCAAAAAAGTTTGTGCGTGTATTTTGTTGTTGTCTATTGCAAGCTTGCGCAATTTGTACATTTCGTGCACCTTGCAATGAATTTGCAAGACAGAATGAACTCCTATGGTCTTTGCGTTAACTACGATGTAAGGATCTTTAACATATAAAGCCTAACAGTCAGAATATGGGTTTTCTTTCTTTAAGCAAAGCTAACATTTTTATTAATTATTACATTACAATCATATAAAAACCATATCCTATTCTTTACGGAAGACACTGAAAAAATATTGTGGTTTCTTTTGCAATTGATTTAACGAATATTAATTATTAATTCAAGATTACTTAATCCTACTCCCCATGCATACGAAATCGCCAGATATTCAATAGCAATCATATCTGTCAACTAATGGTTAATAATTTCACTTCACCCTCAATGAATAAAATTAATATTTTGTAAAAACAGATATGGCAATCAAAACCATTACCAAACAGATATATGAAAGCAAAAAAAAAAATTGCTAACCGGATTAGGTTTTCTAGCAATTTACATATCAAGAGGCTCAAGCATTTTCGAACATATTCAATGTTCTATCCAAATGTTCGAATTCTATATACTCGAATTGCTGGAGCAGTTAATGATCGAACACTTTAAAGTCTTTATTAGTTGCGCTCTAAGAAATAAGAAATGACCCATTATACCTATTGGAAAACAAGCTATTCGATTATTCGTGCCAAAGTAAAAATTAAGGAAACGTAAGAACCAACTATTTTTGGTTATTTGACGCAAACGGAGGACCCTGATTAAAAATCAATTTTTTGAATGCAAATATTTCTTCATTGTTATACTGTATTCTATTCAAAATAAATTTCTTGCAAAAGGTCATAATAATGTTAACAAGAAGTATTTTAATTATAGTTAAGAGTTTATCAGAAAAAAATAGTAATTTAATTCAAATAACAAACTTCTAGGCACGTATTTATTGTATATTCAAAATTGCAGAGAATATAATAAATACTATATATATATGTAAATATTTATATTGACTTTATTGGAACGAAAATCAGACAACATAGAGACCAACTGTCTGTCCGTCCTGACTTGTTCGTTTTATAACAATTAAGCAGGGTAACCAACTCTCATTAATTTGGTGAGTAGAAGTTGATTTTATGAGTTTTGTTCTGTGTTGCATTTTTAAGTCAAATATTTCGCCTTGATAAGATGGCAGCAATTGCCAATTAGCGATTTGGCGATGGATATTAGTAGGGGCAGATATTTTTAAGCAGGTTTTTCCTCAACGCTGTATACCAATATAGCTTCTGAAAATGTTGAAGTTTAAATCTAATAACTTTATATGTTGATCACACCAACAAATAATTACAGCCGTCGTTTAGCGTCAATAAACCAATACAATGTTTACAAACAATGAGCAAGGAGTAGACATCTTTGTTTTGATGGTTTTCATATAAAAATGTCTGACTTTGATATTAAAAAATATTCACCGCTGGTACTTGTTATATCCAAAACAGATACTTGGTAAGTCTTTAAACAACAAATTTTTTATTGAAAATCAATTTTACTGGAGTATATATTGGCATTAATTATATATTACATTTTATGATTTTTTCGGTTGATATTTTCATTGGTGTAGAACTTGTGTGGTTTGTCGGAGAGGAACTTGGCTGAGCGATTTTCAGCGGCTTCTTGGTCGGTTGATTTATTAACTATTAAGAGAGTTTTACCAAAAGAGCAAAACAAATTATAGTCAAACGATGCACTGTGCGGACTATACGATAGATATATTAATACTTCGTAACCGAGTTCCATCAATTTATTTCGGATCGCCAAAAATGTGCGTGACTTGTAATTGTTATGACGGAATACAAGTTATTTTCTATTGGTCAATTCAGATCGTTTTCCTTGATTGTTTCGTTCAAGCGATCAAGTTCTGAGCACTAAAGGAATGTGGTGTTAACTAGTATATTATAATTGTAAACTGTATATTAATATATATGACATAATGAGAAAATCTGCTTAAAATTACTGATATCACTAAAACTCTTTTTGTAAATGAGCGTGCCAAGGAAATCGGAATCATGCCCAAAACCCAAAGAATAAATACAGTCAAAAAATCATAAAGTCAGACGATCTGACTTTATCAGACATAGTTGTTTCCTATTCTAAGAGAGATGCTATAATATCTCTGACACTTGTTCGCACTTATGTGTAGCGTTTTTTAATTATTTTTATGCAGTTAATCGTGATAATAGTTCCAACTGAACACAATCACGTCAATAATTCTTTACTAAAATAAAAATTTATTTTATTTTTAACAATATTATTACTAATATAGTAATTCTATCACAAAGTTACTATTCTAAAGTTACTCTGGTGTATATACTAACTACATAAATGAAGATTACACATATTGCAATTTTAATAAATCGTATATACAATTAACAAATTGTCACAGTTCAGATGATGCCACCGTTTGGAAAATATTTTCGCCTTCGCTAATGATTCTATAAAATATATCTATACGTCTATAAGTTTATTATAAAATAATAATCGATTAAATTTAAATGTTTATTTCATATGCTTGTATCTGCATACCTTAAAAACTTCACTTAATTATATGTAATCTAGTATCTATTAAAATGAAGACAGTGTTTATCTTTTCACTCACTTAAATTCAAAACAACCTAAGCAGAACAACCTAACTAATTAAGCCACTAATTACGTTACTCCTCTATTGTTTGACTTCCTATCATTCTTTAGAGGACATGTTTTATTAAAATGACAAAGTGGTCTTATGGTTCTTATTAGAATTGCATTACTTGACTCCATTAGAGTAGTTAGATTGTTCCAAACAAAATGTGATATCACAATTGACTAAACAACTAATTCCGCGATATCTTTTGCCAATAGTAACTACAGTATAATAACGAGAGGTTCAAGTATTTGCAAGAGCTATGTAATATCTGGTCCTGCTGGAAGAATTATATACCACACGTAATATAATTTTCTGTTCATTTATTATTCCAATTACTTTGAGAAATTTTGAAACCCATAGGTAAGAAAAACGTAATGTATTTCGTTTGAAGTCTGCAGATAAGTAATATTATTGTAACTTTTTATGATTGGTATATTTTTGCGTGGTATCAGATTGCGTCTGAACTGATATTATCTGATATCATGATATTAACTGATATCAGAAGAAACAATTATTGTGATTAAAGAAAAAATAATTTTAAATTAATAGACACAATGGCATGATATTAATAATATTGGTATTGAGACTTCCTTAACTAGATTTATTATAGTAAACTAGAGCCTTTTATTCTGAAATGAAGTATGACAAAATTTTATTTCGCTTAATAGTTTTGAAGCTTACTTAGTAAACTACAATATGAACTTAAAATATTTTAATATATATTAAGAATACAATTTTTTATATTTCCTATTTACAAAAATCTTTTACTGATAAGGATCTGCTTTGGAACTATTAGTTTTAAATATTTTTACTTATTTTACAACTTTTAGCAAAAGTTAAACTAAAGAAGTTAAACTAAAGAGAATTTGGGATTTACTTTAGTAAACGTTCCAAAACATTTCTGAGCTATCAAAAATTTTGAACTGATTGGTTAATATACAAATATTGGAGTATCACCAGTTAAATCACGAATATATTTGTTACAGTAAACTTTCTGATGACTCTAGCCGGTCTTGAAGGTATTGCAGAGTTACTTCTGGTATCGTATAGTCACTGCCCATCTCTGGGGAATTTGCACCAATCAGAACATCTTTTGAAAATTTCTTATCATTCCAACTGTGTTCGCGGTGACGATTCTCTTTCATTATACTTGGTGGACGCTTATGAATTTCTATGATATCTCCTTCATCATCAAGCGTATGTAAGGTATCTTTGCACGTTTCCTCATCAGTTTCATTTTCCTCTATTGAATTGGTCTCAATATTTATGGTGTGTACTTGTATTGCGTCATCATCGGATTGCAATGAATGAGTAGATTCTACTTCATTTTCACACTGTTTGTCTATATCATCGCCGCAAAAGTTATAAACTGTAGTTTCTTCCTCATCAGAGTCTTCATCTTCATCAGAATTGAGAGTATTCTTATTATTATCCTCAGATAGTGAATAATAAAGTTCTGGATTTTCATTTATCAGTAGTTCGTCCATTATCTTATCATGCTGCTGAACTTTGCTCTGATTTTGAATCAACTTTTTACTTGGACTGACATCATTAGATAAATTATCTGATATATTACTCTTCCCAGCAATTGATTGTATATCATTTGTTTGAGGATTTTTTTCGTCATTACCATTATCATTCAAAGCAAGCATAAGTGAAATTTTGATCTCATCAGATATGTTGTCTTCCGGAGCGACATCTTCAACAATCTCTTCATTTACTTCAACCAATGTAATAGTTTGCAATTCCTCACTTTCATGAGTTTCATAAACTTCCAGACTATGCATATCGCTAACTTCTTCATCCAAACTAGTAACTTGAGCTGCAAAATATAAAAATTAAATTGCTTTCATATATTTATATTCTTATAAAACGTGGCAAATATGCAAATTTCGTTTGAAAACTTTATATATTTTTACTGTTACAACTTTGGGATATAAAGTAATTTCGATTTCCTTACCTTCACTTTCATTTATAACACAAATGCTTTCTTCCTCTAATAGCGTTGTAAATCCAAGATCCGATTCCTTATGTTTCACTGCTTTACTGCACGATTCATATTCTACAGCATCTGCACTTTGAACTTTAATAATTTTTGTGATGTTACTAGTGGTTAAGTTTTCATCATCTAAGTCCAGAAGAGCTGTAGAAGTTTTCGAAGTTTCATATTCAATTTTTTCTGATTTTTTAGACGATTTCTTTTTAGATTTTGGAGTGCCTTTTGACTTAATCCTTAACACCAAAGGCATATCCTCAAACAATTCATAATTCTCTAATTCAGTCGATGGCGTTATATGTTCGACATTATTATTTTTATTTTTCTCAAACACGGTGTGAATATTTGTACCTTCTATTTCTTCTGCTAACAACTCAACAGTGTCTACTATCTGTGCCTTTGTTGTTTGTGTAGATCCCAGTTCATTAATAATTTCATACACTATATTGTCCATTTGGTCACCACCAACCAACTCTATAAACTCTTTTTCTATAATGTCATCAGCAACATTTTCCGAAGATTGTTCAACATTTTCCATATCATGTTGTACATTGAGTTCTTCTACATACTGAACCACTACTTCTTGATTATCTTGGTGGTCATCAACTTCAATTGCTTTCGTACCACATATTTGATGACAATCAATGTCTTCTATTAAAAATTCCTTATCATCCAGTTCAAAAGGATCTGGTGGTAAATCGTAAGTTTTTACTTTTTCTGGCACTGGAGAGGTTATTTCTTTTTTTATTCCTTTGCGACGTTTCCTCTTCGGTGCATTTTCATCTATTTCACCACGTTTTATTCTTTCTTCCTCTTCCTTTTCATTTTGGAGTCGACGAAGTGTGCGCTTTAAAGTATTTATTTCTTGTTCAGCAGCTTTGATTTCAGGATTTTGACGACGTTTTTTGCGCAGCTCACGGTCTCTAGCTCGTTCTTTTGCACGATATTCCGGATCTTGCCTCCGTTTGCGACGATGATCTGTATTTCTTTGTTGTTCCTTTTTCTTGTATTCAGGATCTAATCGTCGTCTAGCATGGGCTTCGGTATTTTTCTGTTGCTCCTTCTTTCTGTACTCAGGATCCTCTCTTCTTTTTAATCGTGATACATTATTTCTTTCTTGTTCTTTTTTTCGATATAGCTGGCTTTCACGACGTTTTCGACGAGTTATATTATCTCGCGCTATTTCTGCAGAACGATCCTTTCCTATTCTATTGAGCCTCGTACGTTCCCTCGCTTTTGCTCTTCGCTCTTCCGCTGACTGTTTTTTCAATCGCGCCATCTAGATTAAATAAATATATGTATTGAAGTATTTGCAATGTGAAGATATTACTTAAGAAATTATATTTCTAACACTACTATAATATAGAAGTCTGAGTATTTTACAGGACTCCAATCGAAAACTTATATTGCAAATGGAGACTTTTCTGCTAAGTAATCTTCCTATGTTCCAAAAGATAATTGTTTCATTTTAAATTATCGAATCACTAACTATTTTAATTAGAATAACTTATTTATTTATTTATTACAGTGTATTAATTTTATGGTAATAATATTATTATAATATAATATACCATAATATATATTGAAAGAACTGCCAATATTATTTTTTTGTATAGTGATATAATTAAGTGATAGTGATAAAATTAAGATACTCACTTTTCATATGTAGGTATTTAATTCCAAATTTTCTTTAATTTAAACTGCAATCTTCACGACTGTGTTCGTGGTACAGACTTAAGTAAAATAAATAGATCTTCTATCTGAAAAATGTAAAACTGTATTAAAATTAAAACTTGTATAAATATAAACGAAAGCATAATTATATATAGTTATATATACAAATACGAGTCCTTAGTATAAATATTTGACTTTACCTACTGGGACAGGTATTTCAAAATCTTGTTAGAACTTGGAAAGACATTTGAGTAACATTTATTGGCTGGCCAGGTACGCACAATATGTAGGATCAATATTCGCAAACGGAAGGTCTTGCACTTTTGTGTGGTGTTGTTAAGGACAGATGTGAATAAATTATGATTATGAAATTGTTTTGGGAACAAGACAATGGCCTTGAAAACACAAGATGCATATACAATTATTAAAACTAGGTATGAACTAACCTATATATGAAATATTATATTATATACAGAAGTGTATTATATGCAATTATTAGAGCCAATTTAGGATCAATTTAGGAAATAATAAAGTAAATTAATTTAAATGTTACAATATATAAATAAAAACTGATAAAAATAAATACTTCTAAAATGAATGTAATTTACTAAATAAAATAGGTAAATTTAAAAATTTGTCGAAAGGCTTACCAAAGTTACTGAAAACGTTAGCTAGTTACATCCATGGGTGTTTTGAGAAATCAAAACTTTAGTAACTGCAACTTGTTTTTTCCTTTATTTTTTTTTTAAATATTGCTACAATAGTTTTGTATGTATTAGTGTTGAATCGTGTAGGCATTAACAGAGGGACCTGCTTTAGCCCTTACCTAAAACATATCAAATAAAAGTATTCGATTAATTAAATTAATATGAAATATTAAATGATATTACCTCATTATCATCCAATTAACTATTTTTCATCGTTTGTTTATAATCAATTCTAAGTTTTAGTCGCCATTAACGTAATCCTGTGTTCTTAACTCTCGAAATCAATTGCACAAACCAAATTAGACATACATGGGAATATTTTTATAATTAAACATAAAGCACACGCATTTAAAATTAAATATTTTCACTGAATTCTTTTTATAATCCACACATTAATGATTATATGAGACCTTCTGAACACAGTTGATATTCTTTTTGTAGTCACTTCTTCACGAATTCTTACACACATAGAACATTTTTTCAGGCGCATCAAAAATATGAAATTTTATGGTCGATTTTCTATACAATTAGTAGGTCGTTACGATTTATTTATTTTTGTGATAAATAACTTATTTTATACAAAAATATTAACTAAATTCCGCGAACAAATTTCCATATACATATTTATTGTTTCATGTAGACTTAATAGATTTTACAGACATAACTCTCCACTTGACAAGATGCTTTTGACAAGTGCGTATGTTTGTATACAAAACGAACAGTGTTGCAAAAGCGTCAGACTGCACTCTTCATTTTGACAACAAAATATTCTATGGTTAGTTAGCTACTCACTTTGATGCTTATAAGAAAATGCAATATTACTATTAATAATAAGAAAATGCAGAAGAAAATTTATTTCCTTATAAAACATATAATTTTTATGGTTCATTAACTGTTCATAATGAAAACTAAACTCATACTGTATACACAGTAAGAATCTGTCCAAAAAGACATATCATAAAATACTTATTTCAATATATTTATAAATAAGTCCTTCTATTGTCAACAAATTAATAATTAATAATTTATATTATTTATAATTTGTTCAACACTAAATTTATTTAGTTCTCGCCATCACTAAACATCTTTTTATAGTAGCAATGGTGTATGTACAGACTAGCAAAATTAAGCAGATTTAATAAACTTTAACTGCAATGAAACAACATACTTACATATACAAAAAAGCACAGTTTTTTATATATTATATCCTTGTCAATATATGAAGATATTATTCAAATTAGCTATCAATATTCCAAATATGTATATAAAAATTAAATTTTGTCTCGAATGGAACGAATGTCAGACGATACAGAGACATACTGTCTGTCCGTCCTGATATGTTCGCTTTATAACAATTGAACAGAGTCACCAACTTTTATCAAAATTTTTGATAAGTCAACTAATAATATTATTTAAATTGTTATTAAAAATAAGATGTGTACATTTAGTAGTTTACGAGAAAATCTATTTTAGTCAGTATGGCATGCGCATGAATGATATGAACAGTAAAAATATTTTATATGATTTGTATAATATTATTAATTATTAACAAATAAGCATCGGAATGCTGAAGAAATTTTTTTATATTAACAATGGATCTATTTACATTATCATGAACGTGATATAAACTTGACGAGAACATGGACAGTTCAGTTTACACTATCATGAACTATCTTGAAGCGTGAAATTTGTTTTGTGTAAACGTATAAAATGCTTGTGTATAGTAGTACATAGCACCGAAATTCGCAGCAGCGCTTACGACTAGTTCTGAACTAGTCAATTTACTAGTCCCTAGGTGGGTTCAACTGGTGAATTTTACATTGAGTTGTCATTCTGAGTCTCAATTGTCCCCGTACGACACACCTCGGAACTAGTCTTTTCACTAGTTCATAAGGGGTAGTATGGTGTAAATTGTCCCCGCACTATACATCGCGGCATTAGTATTTTCACTAGTTCTTGATTGGTAAAATAATAAATAAAACGTGTATTTTATATATTACTAGATAACCTGACAAACGTTGTTTTGCCTTATAAATTATTTCTAGTTTCTAGATAAATTCTAGTGTAGACAAAAAGTAACTTACTTATTATAAGTGTGTAAGTATGTGGTATATGCATGAAATAGGCATGGAGCGCTATGAACGCAAAGGAAAATAAAAATAACAAACGCCAAACAATATTATTTAGTTGATATAATAGTTTATTTATTAAATTATTAATTTAAAATCAATAGATTTGTATGATACCAAGTTCCCTGGCAACAACTGTTGTATCTTCAAATTTAAATTGTCTTGGATTGACTGTAAATAATAATAATGATAATGGACCAGTAACATTAACCAACAACAGTCGAAGATAAAAGTACTCAGTGTGTCTTGGATTAACTGTAAATAAGCGTTCGATTTAAATAAATTGAGACATGCATCAACTGGTGAAACTTGCATGAAACTTGTAATGTTCTTGCAAAGGCACCAAAATCATCCGTACTATTAGGTATAGGTATAGGTTGGAGTGGCGGCCTTGTATCCCAAAAAGCCCACTTAAGCACAAATAAAGGCCCGTTGTGGTACCACAGGAGTTACGTTATTTGTATATAGATTTTAATCAGTATACATTTAACGCCGAAAGAAAGGTAACGACTCCCCCATTATGCAAAGGAAAACCAACCTGACAGTTCTATGAACTTGGCTAGGTCCCTAACATTACAGGATGACAACTCAGTCAGGTCAGTTAGAAAAGGAGATCCAAGGATTATCCGTACTATTACACAATTCAAAAAATGCAGTGAGTGTGGATTTAGGTGGATTTGTACCACGATCAATCACTGTCTCGTTCGTGAAAAATACACGCTGACCGTTTTCAAGATGGACGGCTAACTGAACAGCTGCTGGATCCCGTTCTTGAATTAGAAAACCGAAGATACGCCAAGCAGCTTCATTGGAGCTGATGTACCGACCAATTTGGTAGAGCGTAATTTCACCGTTTTTGTTCATTGGAGGAGCATTTACATTAGTATTTTCTACTCTAAACGCAGCCATATCACTGCCTTTATAGACATACTTGTAAATATATTTGATGCTCTTCACAGAACTGCAAAACTCAACAATAATATGAGCATTGTATGTCTTGCTTAGCAGAGGCGAATACGGCACCACCCGCCATTGTCCCCTATTATCGGGATTTCTTCGACGATATATTGGATATCCGTCGGTATTTGTTATAGTATCATTAGTGAAATCTTTTGAAAAAATTTTAGTACATTTTCCATCTGCCATGCCAGGCGAAGACGAAGAAACGAAGTGGATGTAATGCTCGATGTACTTGTTGGCGTAGTTACATAAAATATTAAGAAAAAAATTTTTGTTTTTCAAAAATATAAACAACATTTATGTCAAAAAAATAAAAAATTTTTTGTCAAAGTAATAAGGATATTTTTGCTGGGTAGGGACTCCCTAATCACTTTAGCGGTATGAAAAATAGATAGTACCCGATTCTCAGACCTACTGAATACACCTATAAAATTTGGTAAAAATCGGTAAAGCCGTTTCGGAGGAGTACGGTAACTAATATTGTGACATGGAAATTTTATATATAAGACCGCAAACAGACATCGTTTGGCCTTGTGACTTATTGATGGTCTTTGCAAATGCCAATCTAATAGGAAATTGAACGCGTTTGAATTAAATTGGCTTGTCTGTGAGAATCATTGGAATTCATGGCAATAAAACTTTTTCGTTTCGGAACTTGCCATTCAAAATGGTGGCTTCGATAATGTTTTTCATCAATTTTTTAATTACCAATCGCGTACTATTGCATAGCCGTGGTAGGTTCAAATTCCGAAGTAAAATAATCGGTGATCCAACTTTCAGTCGTAAAATGTGTGGTGGCATGCCTGGCAAATCCAGTGAGTTTAAAAACTCTGCTGGATAGTTTACAACTTCGTTGGTATCACGAACTGTATCGATCGATTTGTATGATATTAAGTCGCCTGGCAATATCTGTTTTATCTTGAAGTTTAATTCATCAACGTCCACGTTTTTTTTTGCTGCTAATGGCTCTTTCTCCCAGCCACCCATGATTTATGTATTGTATGTGTACATCTGGAAATACGCGGTCAATGAGAGCATTTTGGGAATCAACGATAGTGCAGAAATTAGGGGGCAGTTTTATGAATTCAGTATTTTCATAGACAACTTTTCATATCATAGCAAGTTTTCTTTTTAAAAATATAAAAAAACTTATGTCAAAAAAATAAAAAAATTTTTATTAAAGCAATAAAGATATTTTTGCTGGATAGGGACACCCTAATCACTTTAGCGGTATGAAAAATAGATAGTAGCCGATTCCCAGACCTACTGAATACGCATCTAAAATTTGGCAAAAATCGGTAAAGCCGTTTCGGAGGAGTACGGTAACTAACATTTTGACAATGTTAATTTTATATATAAGATATATTTATATTTATTTTAATATATGTATATACATATATATTAATTATATTTATATAAACAAATTGTACTGTAGTTAAATCAGATCATCTAGGGATCTAACTGATGATCTATAGATGATATTGCAACCTTGTTTTCAACTTTTTTTTTTTTAGTTTTATTTTGCTTTTTATTGAATCTTCTAAAAATCAGCTTAGAACTAACAATAAATTATCGCTGCTGATTGCTGTATTAAAATATTTGAAAAAAAGAAAATAAGATAATTAATTGTCCTTAGCCAAAGCTTCGTCCAATTTTGTTACCATGTCGAGCGTTATTCTTGAATAGCCGGGTTTATATGGTTTCTTTGAGTCGCTGAATACCAGCGCTTTGGGTAAGGTTGCTTGCAAGTGGATTTTAGTGGTTCCTGAGTTTGATTTTGTACTTTTGTGTGTTGCTGACAATTACATCTGTGACTGAGTCAATTCGAAGATCTCTATGAATTTCTCTATATTTGCGTTGTTTAGATACCAGTGGGCACCGACTATTTGCCGGAGGATTTTTGATTGAGTTCTTTGGAGTTTTTCAATGTTTGATGAAGAAGCAGAGCTCCAGAGTTCAATTCCGTAGGTCCATATGGATCTTATCATTGTATTGTAAAGTTGCACTTTATAGGTGAGATTAAGTTTAGAATTTTTGTTTATCAGCCAGTTTATTTCTTGTTGTTTGAGTTTAATTTGGGTTACTTTGGTTTCTATATGATTTTTCCACGTAAGCCCTCGGTCGAAGTGCATTCCTAAGTATTTTGTGTCATTGCATTGTGGTATTACTTTTCCATTAATACGAAGGGCAGGGCAGGTATCTCGTCGTAGAGTGACCTTGTCTTTAATGAAAAAAAATTTGATTTATACGTTATTATTTTAACTGAATTTGGTGTTTACATGTACTTTGGACACATCCATTCGTATTCATCGCAGCGTATTTTAGTGACTTATATATACCGTTCTGTTATTAACTATATTAATTCTGGATATTATTATATATTATTTTACATATTTACATACTTAAAATCGATATCTGTTAACATTACTTGATCTTGTTCATTCATAAGTTCACAGTCCACTAAGCATATTATTGTAT